GCTCATATGTTGTTTCATGAAATTCTTCTGTGTCTTCCAATTCCTTTCGATACAGTGACTCAGTATATTCCTTCCATCTTTTTTTAATACTTCCAGGATCATTTAACGTTCTGCCAAAAGCATCCTTGATTATAGCAACTCAAGGTTTGAATTTGTTCTTCAGTTCCTTGAGCTTAAGATATGCTGAGCGAGTTCGGCCCTTTTGTAAAAAGTACAATTTTTGTAAAATTTTTGTAAAAAGTACAATTACTGTAAAATTAGTATAAGATAAAAATTTTAAAAAGATCTATGAAATGTAATAGCAACAAAGCTTCCTCACTAAATCATCAAGATAAAATATTAACTAAATTTTTAAAAAGACCTACTACACAAAGCAGTAGTACCCAAAACAGCATGGTACTGATTCGATGACAGTCATAGTCACTTGGATGCTGCCTGACAGCAACAACTCATTGTCTTCTTGCCTGCATGATTTCTGCTGAGAAGTAGGAGCGTAATATTTTTAATTCTCCTTTGTAAGTAGTGCTTTATTTTCCCCTAAACGTCTTTCACTATTCTTTTTTATCTTTACTTTTGGGATATTTTATTATTATATTAGTGTATTATTTTTATTCTTTCCTGTGTGAACTCATTCTGCCTATTGAATCTATATATTCTCCTTTTTTATAATATTTGAAATGTTTTCTTCCATCAAATCTGTAACAGTTTCCTCTACTTTTTAGTTCTCTTCTTGTTCTGGAATTAAAATCACATGATTTCTTCCTCTTCGTGTTGTCTCATATGATCCCTTCTTCATTTTCCCTTCTTTATAATTGTCCATCTCATTGTCATGTTCTGTTTTTTTAAGTGTACTCTTTTGTCCTTTTGAGTTTTAAAGTTACAAATTTCAATCTGCTGCTTTTGTATTTTTCAATTTTTTTACCTGGGTTTTTTTTTTTTAATTCATCTATGGTTTTATCTATGTTTCCTTGGATTTTATATGTGGTTTCCTCACACTTGTTCTCAATCTAATGGAGCCAATTATCATTTTTAAAAAATGTCTTAGCCAGGAGTTACAAATGCCTTTCTTCCTCAGAAAGATTTTCTGATTCTGTATTTTAGTAATTTTTTTGTTCCATATTGTCATAATTATTATCATTATTATTATTTTTTTTTTTTTTTACTGATTTAAATATATCTAATTCAAGTTTGGAAGCAGGATGAATGTCATCTGCTTCCCAAACCACAAGCCTTTAGAAAGTCTATGAACATAGAGAAACAATGTTATAGAACAGGGTTCAGGTCTTTTTTTCATAGAGTCACTATGAAGGTAGAGAAACAATGTTATAGAACAGGATTCAGATCTTTTTTTCCATAGAGTTGTTAAGGCTCAGCTGCAGTTAACAAGGACATATGAAAGGGAGACCAAGAGAAACAGTTCTACTCTGAAAGGTGAGCTCTCTTGTTTTGGTTGAGGGTATGGAATGTTTGGCTGTTTTTGATTTAAGCCTCCTTTTAGAGTCAGCACCACCTTCTGGAGGCCTACTGTAATTATAAATTAGAAGAACACTTTTTTCCGTGGTGCAGCACTGCTCTGTCAATTTCCTGTACTGAGGTAACCTGGAATGGCTGTGATACTGAACTGTGAGCCATAGAGGTGTCCTAATGTGCCTTAATGATTACCCATGGTGGACAGTGTGTTGTGGAGCTCCCAGACTAAGACATGTTTGGAAGCAGGAGTGGCATCCACTTCCAAAACAACATGCCTCTGGAAACTATGAATTTTGAGAAATGACGATAGTTTCAGAAAGACTTCAGGCCTTTTTGTTCTTAGAGTTGCCCTTGACTGCAACCAGCAACAACATGTTGAATGATACCTCAGTTAATATGAATTTCAACCTATAACAATGTGCTTGGTGGAGGGCCAAGTAGTGGATAAATACTAAGATAAAATGGATACTGTTCTTAACATTTCAGTGAGACTGGATCAGGACAGGGCAAGCTTCAGAGCTGTTTTATATAGCGATGTGACATAGCTATGTTGTACGTAGTTATGTGACGGCATATAACAACAAGGAGCTGTGGTGGCCTGCTGTTAACAAGCTGCAGTCCCAAAGGCATGCAATTCAAATCCACCACATGCTCTGCCCAAGAAGATTAGCAGTCTCCTTTATTTACTATTTACCGCCTCTGAAACCCACTAGAGGGTCAGCTTTGGGTCAATTCCAAAACAATAGGGACTATCTTAGGAAGCTCTGGTGGTGTCATAGGTAAGGAGTTGCTTTGCCACCCCAAAGTCAGACAGTTTTAATCCACTATCTGTTGTGTGGGAGAAGATGAACAGTCTTCCTCAAGAGGGTTGGTTTCATCTCTATAGCAGTGAGTTGCATTTATTGGGGCATTATCCTGGGGTTTTTCACATGTATTTTTATCCTTTAAAACCTGTCAAAGTATGTGTTCCTATTTAAGGATCAGGAAATGATGGTTATGTTGTCTGATTTACCGTAGCTACTGTGAGTAGAATAGAACCGGAATTTCAAGCTTAGGTCCAGATCCATTCCTTTCACTGTTATACCAAAGTTGTTTGATTCAAAATGGAGTGTATATGGTGTGCTTCTAAATTTCCAAAACTGACTTGTGATAATTTGGTGCTGTTTTTGTTTTGCTTTATTTTGTTTTTAAGATAGAACCTGCTGGAATTCTGTCAGTAAAACAGATGAGGGGAAGAAATGAGATGAGTCTTGAAATTTGTGATTATTTGCTGTTACGGCCTTTTGCACTGCTAGCCTAGGTTTTGCCTTTCAACTATTAGCAACAATTCCCTAATGTATTGTTTGGGAAATGCAGAGCAATTGTTTGTTTTTCTTTTAGAAAAATTTGTTCTTTGCCTTCAAGAAATTTTAGAGTCAGAGTTTGGTAAAGTGCCAAGAGTTAAGGCTTAAGTTTGCTTTTTCTCTTAACATTGTTCATCCCACCTTAGTTTATGCATCAGATTCTTAATATATTGACCTCTTAAAAAGAAATAAATGAGGTTTTTTTGGGGGGGGTTTAAATATACAAATTCTATCTTGATATTTATGAGTTTTTAAGCCAAAGGTAATATAATAGGTTAATGTAGACTTATCCTGTGTTGGTGGTGGTGGGGTATTAGGGGCCAGTGAGTTGGTTTTGACCATTAATGACCCTATCTGTATACAACAGAATAAAATTTTTCTTTATCCATCATCTTCACACTTTGTGCCATGCTTAAGTTCATTGTTGCAGTCATTGTGTCACTGCATCACCTTGAGGGTCTTCATGTGTTTGATGACCATCTACTTTTCCAAGCATGATGTCTTTTGCCAGTGACTGATCCCTCCTGATCACAATTTAGAGAAAAAGTCTTACCATCTGAATACTTTCTCTAAGACATACTTATTCTTTTGACAGTCCAGAGGGTATTCAATACAGTACTTATTTGGTCCTTCCTGTTTGTTATCCAACATTAACTTTTTCAAGTAATTGAAAATACCATAGCTTTGATCAGGAACACCTTAGTCTTTACAGTGACATCCTTGCTTGTTAATACTTTAAAGAGGTCCTTGGTAGCAGATTGTTCTGTGTAGTACATCTTTTTTATTTCTTGACTGTTCCTTCCATGGGTGTTGACTGTGGATCCAAGTAAAATGAAATCCTTGGCAATTTTTGTCTTTTTCCATTTATCCTAATGTGAGAATTTGTGTTTACATTCACTATGTGTAGAATAAACTGTTGCTATTGAGTTCTGACTCAGCAACCTTCATCTGTTTTCTGAGGCTATAAATCTTTACTAAAATTGACTGTTCATCCTTGTTCCATAGAGCAGTTGGTTGAACCATCAGCTCATGCACCTCGTAATGCACTATGCTGCCAGAGCTCCTTAAAGCATCTTTTTTGGTGTCTCCAAAACATTTTGTTAATCTCTTGCCATGGAGAGAAAGGTTTTTGCTGTTTTTATTTAGTAGATTAGGAAAAGGTGGTTATATTGTCACAATTAAAGGAATTTTGTTGTTTTGTACCTTCAAGTCAGAACTGACTCCTCAGAGGCACGAAATTGCTTGGGAGGAGATTGATTGCCCATCTCTCCTTGAGGAGCAAAATGCTAACTATTGTTTTCTCCAATTATGTCTGCTTGTTTTCTATTAAATCCTACTAATCAGGCTCTAATAACTGGAATTTTTGTGAAAAGGTTTTAAAAGGATGGGGGAAAAGAGCATTAAAGAATCCTTTACTAAAAGATCTCATAGTGTGGTGGCTACAAGAAACGCAAATGTGAAAAGGCCTATTAGTACCTACAGTTAAGTTTGTAGAAATTTGGAGGTAGAATTACTAAGGGAAGGCTCGTTGAAAGAGATGGAACTTAGGAAAAAACAAGCAGAAAATGGTACTCATGATGTAATTCACGACATAGAAAATACTACATACTGGCCATATTTGGAAATTCATGGTGGGAACCTTTGAGGTTTTGGGGGGGGGGAGAAAAATGTTTGGAAATTAAAATTCATTGTTTGGAACTTAATCCTTGTGTACCATGGACTGCCAAGAGAACTAACAGGTCTGCCCTTGAGAGGGTGAAACCAAGCTGCTCTTTGGAGGCAAGGATTTTGAGGCTCTGTCTCACATACTTTAGACATGCTGCCAGGAGGGATGACTCCTTGGAAAAGGACATCGTGCTTGGAAGGGTGGAGAGACAGCATGAGTGAGGAAGACCCCAGATCACATGGATTGATAGTAACTGGTGTATGTTGTTGTGTTCTGTTATGTTGGAACTGGCTCAATAGTTGACCCTTACATGGGTTTTCAGAGGCATTAAATCTCCACATAGGAGCAGATTGCCCTTTTTTCTCCCGTGAAGCCTCTGGTGGATTTGAAGCATGTGCCTGTGGCTTGACAGTGCAAGTCCTTACATTAAGCCACCAGAGCTTGCCATATATGTCCTTCATTCCATTTTTATTATTAAGTAGTATTTGAAATCTATCAATTTGTTTATTGAAGGCAAATTGTATTGTCAGATTTTTCACTATTATGAATAAATATATTCATATAAGTCTGTCGTTAAAATATAAGTCTATGTGGTTAAAATTGGTTATGTACCTTAAAGTGTTTCTTTCAGGTATTAAGTTACTGAACATAAGCCATCTTATTATTAGTAATACTCTTCTTGCCTGACACTTAACTCGTTTAACATTTATTGGATGCATAAATGAATGACTCCATTAATAGATTAAGATGGTTAGTATAAAAATTGTAGTCCAGGATATGTAGATTAGATTATATGTCCTGTAAATTGTTGTTAGATGCCGTCAAGTATAATTCATGTACTTATTTATGTCCCTGTGAACAAGAGGAGTATTGACAAATGTGTCTTCAAGTTCATATTGCTAGATCTTGGCATCTGTGCTAATGGGTAAGGCAGCCAGAGTGATGTTTTTGTTCTGATTTTCTAGCTATTAGTTTCTTACTAATTCTGTAGGGGTAAACAAGATGTTATGATTTAATAAGTAAAAAACCTGCTAACTACTGGTAGTTTCATATAGCAGAACCATTATGAATCTAGGATCATGTTACCACTCTCTTTGCTAAAAGTGCTGAAATAAAACAAAATTAAATTAAAGAACATTTACTCATCTATTTACTAGGTGCTGACACTTAGCACGAACTTAGTTATAAAAATGGTATCTAATCCTTTAGGAACTCACAGACTATTAAGTGTCAGTATGAACTTAACTGTTGCAGTTTTGTATAGTTATAATAGAACACTGTCGTTGTGGGGGTATTTTGTGATTCCTATTACTCTTTTTTTTTTAATTTAATGAAAGTTTACAGAGACTTTGGGTTTCCAGTCATTCATTGTTGCACTTTTCTCCCTGCCCACCCCCCACCCCCAGCCTGTTACTCTTTAAAATTCATACGAATATTGCATTCTGCTCCATAATACTCCTGAATCTTATATGTGGTTTGGCAAGAAATATTAGGCATCAGTATCTATCTGCCTATCCTGAATTTTATGTATCATTTGTCTCAGAAGGAGAATTTTTTTTTCTTTGATAAATAAAGGAAAAGGCATTTTAAAAAAATGAAGACACAATCCCCTCCCCCCAAATAATATGTATAAAATCAGGAATACTGGAGTCAGAATCAAGTGACATATATTCTTGGTCTAATTTGGCCATATACAAGCTTGTGTCTTGGGCAAGTTCCTTAAACATTTGTTATTCCAAGATTTCTTTGAGAATCATGTCTTGAAGTAACAAGTGATTAACTACCAAGTAAATGTATTCAGTATCAATTATTATTTTTTATGATCTGTTACTATTGATGTTAACTTAACAATAGTTAGTTATTCTTTATATTTAAAAAGGAAATTAATTGCTTAATGCATTTGTATTTGTTATCAAACAGAGTCTTGTTGATTTTTGGTTTTTTTCCTATTCGATTAAGTCAAAGTATGGTTTGCTATTGTTTTTAATTATGTGCTATTAGATTAAAACTGACTCATCACTGACCCTGTATCACATTTTCAGAAACTCTACATCACATGGGAGGAGATGACTTATCTTTGTCCCTTGGAATAGCTGTCAAATTCTAATGATTGAAGCTCCTAGTATACAACATTCTTTCTAAGAATATTGAGTCAGCTTTGTCTTAAGCTGTTATTTTGTATGTGTGTTTACTTGTACAGATGTATTTGCTTTGTTTCTTTTTTTATAAAGCTTAAGTTAATATGTCCCTGAAATTACCTTCTTAGATGGAGATGGTGATGGAGATGGGGCAGCTGGAAAGAAGAAGAAAAAGAAGAAGAAGAAGAAAGGACGTTAGTGTCTTAAATTACTCTTACTTTGATAAATTTGAAGTGGTTGTTAATTAGCAAGTTTGAAGAATAGGTTTGAAATTGCTTAAATCTGGTAAAAAATACACAGCTCAGTTTGTTGCTGTTGAGTTGAAACTGACTCACAGCTGACCTTTCAGCAAATTCAGCAAATCACATGGCAAGAAACACTACATATCTTTCTCTTGAGGAGCAGCTGGTGGATTCAAACTGCCTGTCTTAGGGTTGGCAGCCCAAATCTATTTGCTAAACCACCAGAGCGCCCTAAGATCTAGTATGTGTCAGTGTAACTCTACACTTAGTAGAGTTTAATAAAGTTGATGACCATTTATCAAATACTCAGTTTAATAATATTTTTTTGTGTTTCGTGGCTAAGGGATATAATATGGATTAGTTGTGTTTGGCTGTAAGTTAAGTTCCTAAAATTTTATAATTTATAACTTGCATAATTCAAAGGAAAATTCTCCACTAGGATGGCTAAGGTAGTAATAGGGTAAACACAGCTTGCACTGGTCAGTTTTTAAATTAATGAGATTTTTGGTAAATATAAAATAGGGTGCCAGTAATTTTAAAATTTATGTATAACGAGACTTTATTAATAATTTTTGTGTTGTATTATTTTAAATTTGCATAAACGGTGATCTGGTCGACAGTGTTATGTCTATAGATGGCATAACCAGACACCTTCAGACTTCTGCTACTGTGTTTGATTTGGGAGACTGTATCGTATTGATGAGTAAGAGTCAATTAAGAATCAGGCTAAAATGCCTTTGAACTAATCAGTAGAGGACTGTTAAATGTCCAGTTATACTTTTTAAAAAAATCTTACTGGGTAAAATTCTGTGAATCAGAATTTTTTAAGCTTAACAGAAAAATTTTAATTTTTTCTTAAGAAAGCTCTTGGTTCTGCTAATCGTAATTCACACAGTATGTTTCTTTCTGCCCACCCTTGCTACTGTAAGGAGTCTTTAAACTGTGAAAGGGATATGAATATGTATTTCTTGAGTTAAAGTTACCTGCATTCTAGAATTATGATTCCAGATTATGATATTCTGTTTAGCTGAAATTGTGACTGTAAGAAATTTTTTTTTATTATGCTTAATGTGCCCTTCAAAGAAAGGCAGGTCTATAGAGAGAACTGATAGGGGAGGAGCTGTACTTGTTGTTGTTAGAAGTTGTTTTGTTCGGTTTTTGTTTAAATTTTAGTGAAGATTTTCAGAGATTGGTTGATAAGTCTTTTGCTGATAGATGCTTTGGTATGATGCCACCAGTGTTTTTCTTTGTATTAATATCAAGAATAATGTGAATTGTACAAGTAACAAGGTTTCCCTTTTTTACGTGGATACTAAAGATCCAAATCTGTAGGGTTTTGTTTTTTAATTTTTTTTAATAATTTTAATGAACATTTACAGAGCATTTGGATTTCCATTCATTCATTGCTGCACTTCTCTCCCCGCCCAGCCCTCTCCCCCCGCCCCCCAGTTCGCTCCTCTCTTTCAAAAGTAAAAGACCCCTCCCTGGTACACAATCCCCCCGCACCCCCCCCCCCCCCCCCCTCCCACTGCCCCAAGTACATTCCACTGTGCAACCTTAATTGTGGACTCTTGTGATAATACCCTATCATGCATCGCTTTTAAATTATTCACTCCCTCATCTGTTTCAGTACAGTATACACAATTTATCCAGTTTTCCTCAGTCTTACCCCACCCTGATATCAGTCCCATTTTACAGCAGTGGCACAGTGCAATATTAAATCTTCAGTTTTGCGTAGTCTTTATTTCAGATCTTATTTTCTTTTCCTTCATTGTTTTCTAATTTACTTTGGGTGTCTCTTACTTGTGTGTTTCAGATTCTCTTTTAGGGAGCACTGGTGGTATAGTTGGTTGGGAGTTGGACTGCTTCAAATCAACCAGAGAAAGATGTGTGTTCTCCTTCCATTTAATTTACAGCTCCACTTGAGTTAGTTCCACTTGACAGTGATGAGAAACTAGAGAATTTTTTTTAAAAGAGACAGTCTTATAGACAGTCTTAAATCCCTGCTGAATTTACTTTTTTTTAAAAAAAACAAACCCAAACCCAACCATGGCCAATTTACTCAAACATTTGTTTACTTTCTTTTATCTTTAAAGTGAGAGAATTATAAATAATAGTTAAGACTATTAAATATATGGTGTATGTTAACTTTCAAAAATATCTCAAGATTTCATCTGATTCATTTTATAGATGAGAAAAGTAAGGTTTGCAAACATTTAGATATTTGCCCAACTTGCAGCAAATAAGTGAATGATAAAGGTTAAACTTGAGCCTTTTGATTAAAACGCCTTTTTTATTCCCTTATGAGCTTCATCTTACTTATTTGGGTGATGTAGGAAGCATCTTATCAAATTTGTAGATGAGGTAAAAAGTAAGGACTGACAAAATTTTTGTTTGACCTCAGCCAAAATTTTTAAGAATTAAGATATGTGGACTGATGTAGCAATTTGACAGGGACAGATAATAAGATAGTATAAAAATTGTTGGGGTTTTGAACACTAATAGAATGTAAAACAGAATTATTATTGGTTTATTAAATTATTATTTTATTAAATTATAAATATAAATTAAATTCTATTTCAAGAAGAGTGAGATTGTTATTTAAATTATAAAATTATTTCAAGAGGAGTAGGATTTTAAAAGTACTGCATATTATAATTTAGACTACTGCTTATTGTTTAATAGTATATTCGTGTAATAAGCATACTTTTTTTCAAGACTGTAAGTATAAATCTGGTTTTTTAATTACGTTAAAGGAACATTGACAGATTCAAGGTTGGTCAATAATATTTTCCCATGTGATTTTGAAAGTGAACCAAAATATATTCCTTAAAGTGTTAAATTTACTAGACTTAGAAAAAAGTATATGGTAGCAGGGTGAGTCAGTAGAAATGGAAAGTAGTTTTCCCTTTTTTAGCTTCAATGACTAGGACCCATACCATGATATACTTAGTCTGACATACTTTGGACATGTTGCAAGGAGGGACCAGTTCTTGGAGAGGGACATCATGCTTAGGAGGGTGAAGGGACAGCGCAGGAGAGGAAGGCCCTGGATGAGATGGATTGATTCAGTGACTGGGATAATGGGGGTGTCAGATGGGCACAGGATAGAGCAGGGTTTAGGACTGTTGTACATAGGGTCGCTAGGAGTTGCAGTCAACTCAATGGCATATAACAACAACAACAACATCTTGATGAGAGTTGAATGACAGAACAATAAATTGTGTATTTATTACGTTTAAAAAAGCCAGTAAACTGCCCAGTACAATCTATGTTTCACAATCCTTGCCTCCAGGGAGCAGCCTGGCTTCACCTTCTCCAGGACACCCGTGTTTATTCACTTAGCAGTCAATGGTATATTCAGTATTCTTTTCCAACACCACAGCTCAAAGGCATCAATTCCCCTTCTATCAGCCCTAGTTATTGTCCAGCTCTGATGCATAGCAAGTGATTGCGAAGACCATGGCTCGTATCAGGTGTACCTTGGTCTCCATTGCTCGTCAGTACTTTGGAAAGGTCTCTGACAGCCTATTTTACACACACACACACACACACACACACACACACACACACACACACACATTTTCATATGTAATAGACCTCTGAAAGAGTCGTTTTTCCTGTGTTTTATAAATTTAATAGGCATATAATCTATTCATTATTGCTATATGGCTCCTATTTTCTTGTTGATTCTTTGATTTTTGTTTGTGAAGGACTAAATCTTGCTGCTCTTTTGTCACCATTGGATTAGGAAGTTTTGGAAGTGTGTTTTCTGTTAAAGTATATATAGTTTGAATATATAATAGAGTTTTGACTACTTGAATATTTCCATTTCCAAGCAGCAATTGTAAGATGATGAACGGGCGTAATTGGCTTTGTGTGTTTAACTGTAAGGAGATGACAAGGGAGTTTCTTAAGACCAGGACGCACTAACAACCATTAGGAACTGAGAAAACAATAGTAAACACGGCACTTTTTTTTTTTACATTAACTGCAAAATTAATACTTTATTTGTATCTCACAGCAAAAGTTCAAACAGACCCTCCCTCAGTTCCAATATGTGACCTGTTTCCTAGTGGTGTGTTTCCCAAAGGACAAGAGTGCGAGTACCCACCCACACAAGATGGGTAAGGATCATTCAAATAACGTAAATTTAAGTTTTGGAAAGTGAAGCTTTGTAAGCAAGCAGATTTTCTTTTTCTCAGAACTTTGCTGATTTAATGCTTGTGAATTTATAGCCGAGAAAATGCAGTAGAAACCCTCTTACTCTTTGGTTAGAGAAAAGGTAATGTAAAAAAAAAGAAGATAATTTGTATCAGTCTGTTAACATCTATCTGTTCACTCCTCTTTATGCTTGAGGATAGGTTTGCATTGGCATTCCCTTTTCCTCCCGTAAACAGTAACCCATAGTGTATTGTCTGCGATTCCCAGTTTGCATCTATAAGAGGAACAGGAATTGATGGTCCATCTTTACAATTTTATTAACTATTTACATTTTTTATGTAAGCATAATTTGGCAGTGTTTTTTGATGGCTTGCCTTAATTGAGACTTTTCAAAGCAACCAAATTTAGTTGGTACAGAAGCAATCCTTATATGTAATGGTTAGTTTCAGTACATGATTATGGTAACAAGTATAGAGGTGGAAACAAATTCACCTGTTTCTTGGCGGTATTCTGAAAGCAGTATACCTTTTAGCTTGTAAGCAGAAGTTTATAGAGAAGAGCATAAGTGGTTATGAGGTTGGAAGCTGGAGCTAAGCTATGACATTTTATGTTCAACCCTTTACACTCCCAGTTGTGGTTACTCTTAGGGTAGAAGCCTCTAAGGCTTTGGAATTTTATGGCACGAGCATCTTTGAATTTATCAATCATTATCCTTGTCTTTAAAGCATTTACTTTTAAAGTATCGAAGAAACTTAAAATTTTCCATTGTTCATAAAGCCCCATAGTAATCACATTTTTAAATTTAAGAAAATTTTTGTTTTGTTTTGCTTCCTCTTCCTCCTTTCCACAGTTATGTTGACCACCTACTAGGTTGTCATTACTGTTGTCAACCACTGTTGAGTACAACTCATGGCAAGTAAGGAACAGATCTGAGCCTATGCCCTCCTCCTCATCTCTGATTTACTTGATCCCATTGCTGCAGCCACTCTGTCAGTCCATCTCATTGAGGGCCTTCCTCTTTTTCACTGACCCTCCACTTTTCCAAACCTGTTGTCCTTTCCCAAGTAATTGCCTCTCCTAACAACATGCCCAAAGTATGTGAGATAAAGCTTCACCATCTTTGTCTGTAAGGACCTCTCTTGTTTGCACTTTTCCAAGACAAAGCTCTTTGTTCTTTGACAGTCCATGGGATACTCTTCTCCGCACACACAACTAAAGGAAGGCATTGATAGGTTTGTATTATGTAAGGGAGATGTTAAGTTGATGGCCATTTATTTTTCTCTATTGTTTATTGCAACTGTAAGCTACTCTATATACAGTGTTAGAGTTATGTACAGTCAAATTGGAACTGACTCATAACTGACCTTCCAGCTGGTGTCAGAGGCAGTAAATCACACTGGAGGAGATTGCCCTTCTTTCTCATGTGGAGCAGCTGCTGGATTTAAACTGCATGCCTTTGTGTTGGTAGCGTAGCTCCTTACCATTTAGCCATCAGAGCTCTCCCACTGTACACACTCTTGTTGTTAGGTGCTGTGGAGTCAGGTATGACTCATAGCAACCCTGTGCACAGCAGATTTGAACCCTGTTCTATCCTGCACTATCGTCATCATCCCCGGCATATAGGTGTCCATGTATGATGGCATTTTTCCTTTTATGTTTTATTTTCGAGGTACAGGATTTCTGAGTCAATAATTTGCACTTCTCAGGCTGCCAGTACTGTTTTTCTAACACCACAACTTGAAGGCATTGATTCTTCTGTCATCTTTATTTGTTGTCCAACTTTCAGATGCATAGCAAGTAACTGAAAAGACCATGGTTTGGAGTGAGTGCACCTTGGTCTTTATAAACTAACATTATTGCTCTTTAGCACTTTGGAGAGGTTCTTGAGGGGGAATGTCACTAACTAGGTAATTGATTGTGAGAATTTAGGAGGATTAGGCAGTGTTTGATTCTGTTTTATAGAGTCTCTATGGGGCCAACTCCACAGCATCTAAAAACAGCAGATAATAGGCACATATTAAATTGATTAAAGGGAAAATACAGTATTCAGTAAGGGGGTGACCAGCATGCTGTCACTAAAGGAACGGAAGGCATGGAGAGGTGCATAAGAAATCCAGACAACATGCTGAGTGAAATATATCAGACACAGAAGGACAAATGCTATTTGAGTCCACTATTATAAAAAAGCTAAGGGAACATATACAAACGGAATAGCACATTCATGGTTGCCAGAAATGGGAGGCAAGGACAAGAGAAGAAGAGTCAATTAATTAGATAATAGATGCATAGTAAATTGGGTAAAGGGAAAGGCTATGTAAAATAAGGAATGATTAGCATAATATCATGGAAAGAAAAAGGAGACAACAATGTTGGTTTGTTTTCTAGTCGGAACTGACCCTCCAGTGACTTTTCAGAGACAGGAAATTACACGGGAGGAGATTGCCCATCTTTCTCCCTTGGGAGCAGCTGGTGGATTCAAACTATGTGCCATTAGAATGACAGCGTAGCTGCTTAGAACTCAGCTACCTGAGTAACAACAGTAGGCTCTTTAAAAAGGAGAGATGGAGACAACAAAGTTAAATATTATCAATGACAAACCTGCACTATCAGTTTTTTCTTTTATTCTCTATTGCCATCAAGTCAACCTGAATCCTCGCTCACCTTCCAGTGGGTTTTTTCAGAGGCTGTAAATGTAACTATCACAGGCACAAGTTGGCCATCTTCCTTTTAGGAAACACCTGTTTTTGCACTACCTGTCTTTGGGTTGGCAGTGCAACTACCTACTCACTAGGTCACTAGACTCTTTACTATCAATAATAACAAATAGTGATCTGTAGGTTTCTTAATCCACAAGGTAAATAGGCCAGGCATGTATTGGCAGTGAAGGGACTACACCCAGGGCCTTGGAATCTCAAAAGGTTGATGATCTGTCCCTGTCTGGAGCAAGGAAGAGCCTTGCTGGTCTGAATGAAGAGAATGGTTGCATCCTTGAGACAGTAACCCTTCAGATCTGGACTAACTTCACTCCTGTGGCCCAGCTTTCAACCTAACAATACAGATGCTCATAGGTTGGAAGGATGAATGCAAAGGATAATCACAGGAAAGAAGGAGGATATGATGTGGAGACTGGAATGAACGTCAGAGAATAACATTTATGAACAGTTGACTGGAACACATTTATAAAACCTTCAAACAGATCAACTTAAAAAAAAACACATTTTCCAAACATCCTCCTCTAAGTAAATTAAGAGTAATTTGCCCTATTTTATCAATATCTACTATACCTGCAATACGTATACCCACAGTACCTATTTGGCATTTTTACAGTTGTCTTCTAAGCATCTTTATAGCTGCTTTTCTCACCCACTTTTGTCCAGAAGGGGTTCCTACCTTCGGTATATCTACTCAAGAAAACAATATAATGTTGAACATTTAGTAATATTGAAGGTTTTGTTACATACCAGTGACTCATACCTGACCTTCGAGCAGGTTTTCAGAGTCAGTAATTGTATGGAAGAAAATTGACCATCTTTCTTCCTCAGAGCAACCGGTAGATTTAAACTGTATGCCTCTGGGTTTGCACAACTCCTTAGCACTCAGCCAGCCACCAGAGCTCTAATATCAGAGATGTGATGAATTTACATTCTTTAAACTTCTGTTTTCTTTCAGGTATTAGTATTGATAGTTTTGTTTTACAGACATTTTGTTAGTTGCTATCAAGCTGCTTCCAGTACAAATCTTTGGAAGCAGATTTTGGCTAGTAGTTGAGTGCTTACATGTTTTTGCTCTGTGAATACAGTCATAGATACATGAGTTTTGCTTTGTTTTACTAAAACTTTGTTTCCAAAACAAGTGCCAGATCTTATTTGGCTGTAGTTTGCCAGTTTGTGGTTTAGAAGCAAATAGTCATACTTTTTTTGAAAGTATCCGTTTTTTTCTTTCTTTCATTTTTCAGTTGGATTTAATTTTGTTTTCATTTTAATAAATATTTACAGAGACTTAGGGTTTTCCAATCATTCATTGGAAAGTATCATTTTTATATTACAGTATAATCTTACTTCAGTGATTACTGAGTTATAAAATTGTATTTTTTGTATATTTAGAAATTATGTGAAGATTTTTATCCTAAATCGTCTTTTACTATGAACTAGTTAAATTACGTCCATGAAATGTTTACTCAAGGACTAAGTATAAATATGTGTTTTGTTTCTTGTGGAATTTGAAAAAATAATATTGAAGTATAGGTAAGCAAACACAAAATAAGAAAAATCCTTCAAAAAATACATGTAATACTTATTTTGAGGAAGGCGTATGCAGATGTCCAGGTCAGGCTTTTTGGTTAGTTCTTGCCCTGCTAGCACAATTAAATGCTAATTTTTGATCTGCACCTCTGAAACTGCTTCTTTATTACCCTGAGTGGGAGGCTAATTTTCTTTCTTATTTTATGTTATCAGGGTATTAGTCTCTCTTCCTATAAGTGAAATATCACTTAGAGGAGTGTTTTTATTTTAGCTTGTTTTTTTTTGCTAAGAGTAACAAAAGGTGCACCTTAATTTATGTTGTACACATGTGTGACTGCTTGTATATAGTTCAGAAATGTGGTGACATTTAGTCAGAGAAACTGAAAGTGTAACTGATTTTTTTCTAAAATAGTAAAGTGCTTGGAATGATTTTTATTTCTGAGTCTTTGTGCTCCTTCTACTGTTTTGTTTGTACTCATACGGAGTTGTGCCTACTCTCAAGGCGAACAGCTACTTGGAGGACTACAAATGAAGAAAAGAAAGCGCTGGATCAAGCTAGTGAAGAGGTTTGGAATGATTTTCGAGAAGCTGCAGAAGCACATCGACAAGTTAGAAAATATGTTATGAGCTGGATCAAGCCTGGGATGACAATGATAGAAATCTGGTAATACGTATTCCTCTTTGTAAAAACGTGATTTTTTAAAAAAGGTTTTAGTACTCATTTTTTTTTTTCTTAAGGGAAAAACATTTAATTAACCAACCTCCGTGTGATTAACACAGCTTTAAGCCACCAGGACACAGGTCCCCCAACACCCTTAATCTTCTCCTCAGCTTTTCTGCTGAAGAATTTGGCCTTCACAATGGCTGGTTACTTTAGGAGCTTTCCCTTCCCCAAAACTTTTAGTATGGTTACTTTAGGAGCTTTCCCTTCCCCAAAACTTTTAGTAACTCAATTGAACCACATCAGTGATGGGAGCAGTGCCAGTCTTGTTTTTGGCAGCATTCACCCTTGTCTGCTCACTGACCAAGCTCATAATTTGTCAAGGTTGACATTTGGGCAGAAGCTCCTATTCCTCTTCAGGTGGTAATGTGTCATACAAACCTTTCCAAAATAACCTGGGTGGCTCACAGTTTTAAAAGTCAGTCTGATGCATATCACTAACCTGGTGACTGACTGTGCCACAAGACCCACAGCCAGTGAATAAGGTCAGAAGTTACTCTTCGAAAGCTCTCGCACACCAAGGCAGGAAAAGGGGGAAAGCAGAAGAGCATTCCAAGTTTGTATCTCTGTAATCACATTTTGCGAGTGTGTACTCATGCATGTAAACACATTAAACTGATGCTTGTTTCCTGTTAAGATCTTATTTTGCTATATAAAATTAATTTTTTTCCAGATTAAGAAATTAAAATTTGACCAGAACTCAAAATCATAAAACATTACAATCCTTTCTGATCTGATAGAGACTGATGAAACCTCCAAGACAATAGCTGTTAGATGCCCCCTCTTCTGACTCAACAACATACATGTTTCTAAGATAATCAGCAGAACCAGGGAGGAGTTCACTGCTTAGAATGCCACCATGGCTCCCTAGAGTTACCACCCATACAAGATCAGAGGGGCAGCATTTGGAGGGGGCGGGGGTTGCGCATGTGTGTACGTGCATACTCAATCTCAGATGGCAGGAATGCGTCAGAGGAAATGTGAATAGAAACAAGAAACATAGGGAGAATGTGAGAAGAGCACTCCTACAATATGGGGATTGTAATCAGTGTCCTGAAACAAAGTGTGTGTGCATACTGATTGAGAGCGTGTTGCTTTGTAAACCTTCACTTAACTGATAGTTTTTAAATCGTTTAGTTCCATTGTAAGACGCGAAACATAGTACAGTGAAAAAAATGGTAATTGTTTAATAACCTTATTGTGAGGGATATAAAGTTAAGAATTTAAACAGGAAAAAAATGTCCTTTTCTTTTTAGTGAAAAGTTAGAAGATTGTTCACGCAAGCTAATAAAAGAGAATGGCTTAAATGCAGGTCTGGCATTTCCTACTGGGTGTTCTCTTAATAACTGTGCTGCCCATTACACTCCCAATGCTGGTGACACGACAGTATTGCAGTATGATGACATCTGTAAGGTGGACTTTGGAACACATATAAATGGTGAGTTCTTGGAAAAAAATTCTACTTTACTCTCCCCATTTTCCAGACTCTAGTCTCACCACTATTCATTAAGGCTCTAGATACCTAACTCCCAAATTTTATTCTTACCTTTATGCTTTTCAGTAGACCTGTTTTAAGGCAGACATGTAAAAGAAAGTCCACTAACTAGAGTTAAGATGGAAACCAATGAATAATTATTTATCATTCTTCTGTATGAAAAAAAATAGAATCCTGCATTTCTTAATGGTTCACATCTTTCTTTCTGCTATCATGTATTGTAATAAATGATCTTTACTTAGAAATGTTAGTTATGAAGTTTTCTAAACTGTTGTCCCCCACAAAAAATCCTATTCATAAGTACATTGTTATTCTCGTTTAACTGGTGAGAAAGCAAAGTTAGATTAAGTGTAAACCAAAGGTCATACTAAATTGTTGGAGCTAAGACTAGTTCTTAGGATCTTTATCATCCTATATATTTCCTTTGCCCTGTTGGCTTAGTTTCCTGCCTCTGTAGTTTAAAAAACCCACAATACCCACTGTATAAATAAGTGGCTTTGAGGAACAAAAATTCGGGTTTTTTTCCAGTTTTGAGGTCTAGGTATCCAAATTAGGGTATTTAGTTTGTAGTTTCTTCTTGAGTGCTTTGAAAGAGTAACTACTTTGCGTCACTCTTCAAACTTTAGTTTTCTTCCAGCAAACTTTAGCATTCCTTTGCTGCTCTTTAGATGTGACTTTACATGGTATCTTTCTATGTGTGAAACCTTCTGTATCTGAATCTGTTGTCCTTTTTAAGAGACCACTGGAAAAAATTAATAACTCTGAAAAAGATTTCTTTCCCCAAGCCCAAGGTCACATTCACAGATAGAGTGGCTAGGTCTATGAACAGAGAGGTTGAATGTATCACAGGGAACACAGTTTTGTTCCTAACACCTGTGTTGCTGTTCCTTAATTACCCAGTCTCTTTTTCCTATGATTTGTTACTACTTTTTTTCCCCTTGTCATAATTGCATTTATACTTCATTGATGTTTTCTTGAAGTAATATGTGCTAACCATGGAATTAGTGGGATTTTGTTGAAAGATCTTTATGTGATATATGCTTTTTTACTTTTATGAATGATCTCTGGGTATTTGGGGTCCTTTTGTCATTTGAACTTAACATTTTTATTAACCAGTAAGGTTAATAGAGTAAAAGCTATAAAGTAGAAAAAACTGACCAGCTTTTAAATCAACTTAAAGAAGGAATTTTCTCTTTCAGGTAGGATTATTGACTGTGCTTTTACTGTCACTTTTAATCCCAAATATGATATGTTATTAAAAGCTGTAAAAGATGCCACCAACACTGGAATAAAGGTATGTGAATTGTAAGCAACATGTCACTCAATGTATTTTAAGGGTTTATATTCTATTCTAGGTCTTTGGACTGCTAAAATGAGTAAGACCTGGTCCGCTGTTCTTTTTGGTTTTGTTTTTATTATTTTTGTGTGTGTGTACCATCAAATCGGAACTGACTGGTACAGGAGGAGATTGTCCCTCCTTCTCCAGCAGAGCATCTGGTGGATTTGAACCGCCTAGTCCACTGTTCTTAAAGCTGCAAGTGAGTAATGGTAATGTTAGGTGCCATTGAATAGAAACACTATGTACAACACAACAAAGCCTGCTCATCTTTACAGTTTTTGTTCTGCTTAAGCCCATTGTTGCAATTACTGTTTTCAGTTTGCCTCCTTCACCGACACACTACTTTACGAAGCATGATACTCTCTAGGACCTCGTATGGGACACAGAGTTTCACCATTCCTGCTTCTAAGGAGCATCCAACTGCTCTTCCTCCAAGATATACTTGTTCTTGGGCAGTTCATCGTGTATTCAGGATTCTTTACCAACACCACAATTCAGAAGCATCAAAAATTTTTTGTCTTACTCATTGTCCAATTTTGAAGCAATTAAAAATAAGACTTAATATAATTGTATCTTAGTTTTCAAAATTAACATCCTTGTAAAATGAGTTTTTCTAGTTGTCCATTTTAAAATAAGTAAGAAAGCATTTAAATTTCTGTGGAATTCTATGTTTTAAATTACAAAATCCCTACAATTCTGTTTGTAGTGTGCTGGAATTGATGTCCGTCTGTGTGATGTTGGTGAGGCTATCCAAGAAGTTATGGAATCATATGAAGTTGAAATAGATGGGAAGACATATCAAGGTATGTTTATATGCTCTTTAAAAATTTATGGTTTTGAAATGTATGTGGCCTGTGCATCTCTTTTTCCCAGAACTGTGCCCTCCTAACAACTCAGAGTCTTGAGATGAAGTTTTCACCATCCTTGACTTCAAAGAGCACTTTGGTTGCATTTCTTCTAAGGCAGACTTGTTTGTTCTCTTAAAAGTCTATGGAATACTGAGTACTGTTCTCCAGCATTACAACACAAAGCCATCAGTTATTCTTTATCCTTACTCATTATCCAACTTTCAGATGCATTGGAAGTAATTGAAAAGATAGTGGTGTGAATCAGACACATCTCAATCTTTAAATTGACATCCTCCCTCTTGGCACTTTAGAGAGGTCCTTGGTTGCTCTTATTATGATCCAAATAAAGTGAAAATGTTGGCAACTTAAGTTTTCCCTCTGTTTATCACAATACTGGTAATTGGACCAGTGATGAGGATATTTGTTTATCTGTTGTTGAAATGTAGTCCACATTTTAGTTTGTTTGGTTGGCTTGTGTTGATTTGGTGTTTGATGTTTTTTGTTTGGTTGGTTTTTTTTTTTTTTTTAGATGGCCCTCATTTTGAAAGGCAGAGTGTCTCTTTATTATATTTTTCTTCTCACTAGTTCACCATTTAACCTAGAAAAGACACTGGAAGCTGTATCAGGTAGCTTCTAATATGGATATGGCACCAGTATTTCACGTACTACTGAATGAGTGGATGTGTATATATATATTCCTGGTTGTTCCATTGGGCAGGCTCAGTATTCTTTGGATTCTGTAGGTGTGATCTTGTTTGAGTGAAGTGTGTAAACGTCAGGCCAGATTTTGTTAGTCTCCATCTGAGAAAATTGTTGGAGCATAACTCGGCATTTGTAGTTACCTTTTTGTATTGTCAGCCTAGCAGCAACTGCTTCAGGTTTATCATTTTCCTGCTGGCCTGGTGGTTCCTCAGTGGACCAGTGATAGTGACATCATCAGTCCCTTTCACACGAGTTGTTATTGAAGTCCAGTTTATGTACTCTTTCACTAGGAGTGTGAATCTAATGTCTGCTGAGAAGATCTTTGAGTCTTGCAAATGGAATGAATTTTCAAAGTGATCACTAGATCCAACTCACAGATTCTATGTAGGTCTTTTGCTTCTACTAAAGTCCTAGGAAAACCATCTAGTGGCCAGTGCTGGCTGTACTTGTTCTCCAGCTCATTACATGATCTCAAACCAAAAGACCTTTCCCTATGTGCTGCTTTGCTGTATCACCAGTTTCCATGTTGCCTTGATTTCTTGCAGGTGGCCACTTGAGGCCAAAGTTCAAGGCAGTCCTCTGGCACACAGTGTCCTTGCCCGGGCCAAGCATCACTGCATGCAGGAGTTGGGAAGCCATTGCCTTGGTGAGGAGGGGGACAGTCAAAAACATAGTGGCTGACAGGGAGCACTGGAAATTTTGTTGCTTCTTTCCTGGTCCCTGATTACTTCTGCTTGTGTGGGGACCCTTGGTGGGGAAACAGCACGCCTGCATACCTGATACCACTGGGCAGTGGCACCTCTGCTGGTCCCTACTTTGCACCCTGGCCACTCACAGGATGGGGATGAGGAGAAGGTGTGTAGGGGAGTGAGCTGCCAGCTGGTGCCCCCTCCTCTGCTAGGGGCTGCTGTGTTCTAGTTGTTAATAGAGTCTCTGTGTGTTTTCTAGTGCACATGCTCATCTCAATCGGTCTTTGCCACCTTCAGTTCCTATGGTTTGACATCCTAGGGCCACCATCCTCTTCCCTAATTTGTACATTGTTCTTTGTTACCTCTTCTGTGAACTCTGTGGAGAATATTTCCTAGATTTCTTAGAACTAGTAGTGGAGATTCCCCCCCCCC